ACAATTTTTGCCGGCCGATGGACATCGGGTGTTTGCGTTAATCGGGCGAGAAAGCTCCCAGTAATGAAGCGTGCTGGTGGCGAAAAGACCACCGTCGGTTGTTACAGAGGGTAATAGTTATGCCCTGACCTCGCGGTCCTGCTCAGGGAAAAGGGTTTTGGATTCTTAGTGTATGGATTTTTTCATTGTGTTCTCTTTGCTCGTGCAAAGAAACACGTTTTATTCATATCCATCCATCCATCTCTCTCTCTCTCTCTCTCTCTCTCTCTCTCTCTCTCTCTCTCTCTCTCTCTCTCTCTCTCTCTCTCTCTCTCTCTCTCTCTCTTTTCTCCCTTCCTTTCCTTCTCTGTCTGTCTGTCTGTCTGTCTGTCTGTTTGTCTGTCTGTGTGTGTGTCTCTCTCTCTCTCTCTATCTCTCTCTCTCTCTGTCTCTCTCTCTCTCTCTCTTTGTTTCTGATTTAGGTAATTCTCCCCATTCCTTAGTTTCTGATTTTACGTTTTAATAATCCTTATCAATGGTACACGTTTATTTATTTCATTTGTTTGGATATTTTTTGAATTCTAAAAATATCCGCTTGTTTATACCAACTGTATTAGTCAAGTGTGATTGAGAACAGGAAATTATGGGATCACATTTTTCAGTGACGCTGAATTGATTTCCGGTTATGAGGAACCGAATACTATTGTGAGTCAGCGTGGTGGAATCAGGCTCTCGTCAAAATAATCAAAGTGAAAAAACTTGCATTTTTCCGCTGGTTTGTGAATTTTTATCAAATTTTTGTTTTTTGGCTCATCACCTTTCATGCCCATTAAAAAACTCATTTCTGTGTGGATTTTTCTGAAAAAGGTTGATTTAAGGCTCAAAAAAATGTAAATTTTCAGTTACAACGGACCCTTAAGCTAGGAAATAACTAATCTTTGGCGGCCATTTTCTCACCAATTTACCTCTGAAAACAGGTGACCCCCACCTCCTTCATTTGCAAATATCTCGACGTGTATTCAAGATAAATGGATATTTTTTTTTCATCCAAATAAAGACAAGTGAACAAGTTTAGGATGATATCAATAACTCTACATGTCCAAAAATTGACGAGAGCCTGATTCCACCACGCTGCCTCACTATTTGTTGTATCACTTTGAGTTCTATACCGGCATTAATATTAGGTGACGCCTGGCGTTGTTCCTCTTTGGGGCTGTGTTTCTTAAACTGTGTTCGAGTTCTGGGGTCCTTTTCTTTTAAGAGAAGAGAGGTGGGGTGGCTGTAGATCCTTTGTGCAGTTGTCGATTTGAAGCATCCTCACGAAATGTCAACACAGCGACAGCCGAAGACATATCGAATGGAATCAATAGACGTCGTATGTCATCCGTGCTCGAATGCAGCACTCATAATGTGCTTTGGACGCTCTGCAAAGTGCCAACAGTGGGCGCGCCGAGAGGCCATCCGATTGGATTTGAAAGTTCAAACGATGCTCCCGGGGCTGTGAAGTGGCGTAGAGGCTGTTTGTCCATCCGGAAATTGCGATTCCTCCGTGCTCTTCTTCTGACTGTGTTTGCTTGTAGTTCTGGGCTCTCTTTTTGCAGTTTGATGACAATGGGTCAAGGTAAATTTCTTGAGCCTTTGATCTTTGAAATGGGACATTTTTCTGCAAAGAATGGTGTTGGGAGGGGATGGGTGGCCTTGGATAGGTCAGTTAGTGACGGAGGATGACAATTGTAGGGTTGGCAAGCCGGGA